CTGATTTTTGCTCTGGTCAACAGTTCGGAAACTATTTTACATTTAATTTACACTACTGGCACAACTAGGAGTAGTTACAGACAAACAAGCAATAACAGCTGACGCATATGCAATCCGGATGCCATTTGGTATTCAACCGCGATTTACAGTCACTTTCGGCGAGTAGAGAGTTCAGTCGCATGGGTTCCACCGGAGTTATAACGAAATTATATACTGTTTGAAATTTACTATTATGTGTCGCTATCGCGTCTGCAGCGTATTCTCCGGATTTAAAGAATCATTCGCGAACTAGAATTTGTAAGCCGTTGTGCAGTAGAACCCTCCATTAAACACGTCAAGCGTACCGCCCCACAAAGCGATCCGCCATCCAAACCAAGAGGAATAAGTAAAATAGTATAATATGCAGACAATTAGTAAATTTACAAATTCCATGATGACGAATAACTGAATTGTGCATCTTTTGTCGCTCCACCAACGTCTGAAAACATGACGCATTAGCCGACGGGACCACCGTACCCACTGCAATTTACAGCAGGAAAGTCTGCCACCATAATACTATGTAAACGCTGTCATAAGAATCCCATGAGCCGCCCGTCTTGAGTGGCAATGAGTAATCTGAATGTACCCTATTAATCCTGTGGTTACTGGTGTAGTCATCTTCAGGATAGCATTTTTTGAGCGTATACTAATTCTAATTAACCCTATTTAATTTTGTTCTAGATGAGTACACTGGTCACCCACGGGGCCGATTTTATTGAGGCAAGTCCGTCCCCATTCTGCTCAGGTCCACATAGTCCAGGGTGAATTAGGACTCCCCTTTCGATTTTGCTGCGTCCCGAATTCTCGAGTCTTAAAGCCTATCGGGCATATTTGGATAGTAATTCACGGCCACTTTGTCAACCACCAGATATTTCCACGATTCACAATGAATGTTACAGCTTTTAGAATTTATTTAATGGCTGTACGAAAACGAGATTTATGGCATCCCTAACTTTGGTCTGGAGTTTTCAGTTGATCATAAACTAGATGTTTTACAATGCGAGGCCCGGTCACCCGTTTTAATTGGTCCAACGAGCGGAGATGGTTTCGTATTAAACTGCGATCAATTTCAACGCTGTTTACTCTTCTAAGAAACTTGATGTTCTCATTTAATCCGAAAGATTTTGAGCAAACATCTCAAATGAAATTTGTGAACAACAAGAGCATGTCACCAGCATGGCTTCCGGGTATCAGTGCCGCATATCTGTCAAGACAATGGAGCAGCCTTAAAACTGCAATCTTGATGTCTGCCCGCATTGGACGATCGCTTCCGGTGCGTTTTCCAAGAAGGCCTAGTGGCCTGCCGGCCATGGAAATACATGTCATTATTTCGTTATCAAGCTTCGCGTCTGTGGATAATGTGCTGCTAAGATAGCATAAACCTTGAAGCTCGCAATCTTATAATCATTTAGCTGGATAAACGGCGTTTTAGTTTGGAACCCAGGAGCAGACCAAAAAGAAACGGGTATTTGGGGGGTGCCAATAAACCAGATGCCATAGTCGTGTACTGTATTTCCTCCTCAGAATGCAAAGTTAGGACATGATCGTTCCCAAACAGCAGCATACGGATATTGGACTCCCTCAGTCGTTTCACTCGTCCAAACCATCCCTGAACGACTTTGATGAAGTTTGCCTGATTTTCTGGAGAGCTAAATCCTTGTTGACTTGTGTTAACTGATTTGAGGCTTTATAGAGCCATCGAATATATTCTCAACATTACTTTTGGATCTGTCCTGCGACAAAACCGGGGCAACCTTGATATGGCTTTTCTCCTGCAGAATGTGATAGAAAATGTGTTGAGCAGGAGAAAAGTCATAGTTTGCCTACTGCACACAGAAGGCTGATTTTGTGATGGCTGTCACTCTTCGGTTGACTTCCTTTTTGTAACGGATAGGTGCGTGGCGCCATATTCTGTCTGAGTACGATCTAACCATCTGCTGATCAGCCGTTTGTACCCGAAAGATTGTGATCAAAATACTAGCCAAGGAAACGCTTGCTCGAGTATACCTGGAATTTCGTAAGATGTACAATATTGGTGATTCGTAATAAAGATGAAACAGTTGTACAGTGCTTCTAGAGTATTCAGCATAAACCGGCTTCACGTATAAGACGAAATTTCGGTTGAAAAATATAGTTGTCAAGCTTCCTGAAATTACTCCGGCTTGCTAGGTACCTAACTGGCTCGTTTTTCTCTAACAACTGAAGATATTGAGCGTCCGGTTCACAAAGAAGTCCAGGGCAAAGAATTTTTTGTGATAACGGTGTTCAGCGAACTAATGGAGCCCCTTATTTCCTTCACTTAATTTTAGGGTTACTAAATGTGTTTCAGAACTTTATTCTGGCGCTTCTGAGGTACTTATGGGTTGCTTGATTCTTCGGATTTCTGACTGTTTTCAAGAACGCCAAATTCTCCTAATGTATCGATTTGGGTAAAGATTCGTCAATCACATTAAACCAATCTCAACTGCGTTCTTGCTTTAATATGTCTCCAGTAGCTGAGTTCGTATACAGACCCGCTGGGAAAGTAGAAATGTAGAATAAAGCAACGCGACAGGACAGTACATGCGACCAAGTTAGAAACGGAGAACCTGGCCCGACATTTATGACATTTCAACAGCATGAGCGCTTTTATCGTACAACTGCTCTCTGCAATCCACGTTGCTGCTGAGTGGAATATGTTCTCCAGAGTTGTTATTATTACATAGAACATTGCTTCACAGCTTTCGGGGACGCGTTTTTCGGTTAACCGAACGATACTATCATATTAATGTGCACGGCCAGCAAAGAAGCAGCAACGCTATTTCGGTTATTTGTAGCTGTTTCCAAGATAACAAGGCGACCTCCAAGACAAATTCCAAATCGAACACTTGCGAGAAGCTAGTAATTTCGATGCACTCTCTAACAACAAGTGGTACGCAAAGTGCAGGCTGCCCCGTCCGGTTTTGCCTCCGGCATAAAGACCATTCGTCCGTAAACTGATGACTATTCGAAGAGGAGTTAGACGCCTGTGACACTACTGAAATACGGTGTTTGATGTGCTCACGAGTCCTTAAGACTTAGGATACATATAACTGCCGCTGCAAATGTTGTCCTGCTCTGGAAAGTATCTGATTGGTGGAGTTTCTTTCCGGGAGATGATTTACTTTCAATCCTGTCCAAGCTTCGCACTACAGCCACATATCCTTTGCCAGCAGGGTATGTTACGTTATTTCGACGTTCCCAGGCATCATGGATGCTGATGGAACACACGTGACTAACAGTTCCAGTTACTTCTGAAACAAACTATTTATGGTCAAAACAATTGTGATGGATAAAGTGGAGGTACAGATACAAAAAAGCAGGTGGTCGTTCCGCTGCCACGTTACGTTGTGCTATTTTTGTTTACGTACAGTCATCATATACGTACAACACGTGCATTCTACAAAACAACCGTGTATTTTGGCTGAAGACGTTCCACACGTTCTATCGCAGGGCTCGTCTGGACAGTACCGCGCGGTAGACTTGGTTTTCACTACCTTGTCAGTCTACAAATTACGTCACGATTTAGACATAATACGCTTAATAATCCTACGATTTGCTTCTTACGTCAAGGCTCACTGATTGCATACCACAGGTAAGTGGGCTATCCATGCACATCCCAGGTAGTCACCAACAATCGTCTGGAGAACACAAATGGTCACTCTTTCAACAGAACAGAACCAGCGACCCAAGCTGATTCACGATAGTGTTTTACGGTGAGTCTTACTCCGAGCAGCTCATGCATCACATGTATGGTACTACAGCAGTTGACATTTTCCCAGTGCTAGCTACAAAATGCCTAATATTTGAGGCCAAATTTAGACGGTGACAGTGCGGCCAACAATCGTTACTTACGGATTTCAATGGCAATAAAAGACAATTGGATCCACGAGTTCAGATCGCTGAAAAATCGTAGCGATGTTTGTTGGAATCTTATTTGTAAGTACCAGCTAGAAGACGCTGGTGAGCGCATTTGTCATGGTAATTACTCAGATATCGCCTCGCGAGTTACAAGTACAAATGTCTCCGCATTAGTCTATTTGGGCAGAGGCAATATCAGCAAAATTAGGTGTAGGAGCACACCATCGACAAATTCTGTGTAAACGGACGTATTTCAGGTTATGAAAATTGCATAGCATGTTTTGGCAATACCCCCTTATAACCACCGATTGTTTAGCAAATCCCTCCGAAACGATGACCACACGGTCGGTTCCAAACACCTTTCTATTGGTCGAATAGCTTAACGTACTTTTATTTTCAGCCCGGTATGTTGAGATATTTCATTACATTACATTAAACTTCCTAATTCGATATGTTAAGCTTGAGAAAATCGCTCGCTTAAAAAATCATTCACACCGGATATCTACATACCAGCATCCTGATGGCGATTTGTGGGATGGACAGTGCAAATGTGTGTGTGTGTGTGTGTGAGAGAGAGAGAGAGAGAGAGAGAAATTCTCCTTATATCCTGCTACCAAGGTGAAATTCATAAAGAATCTGGTAGAACCCGTTAAAAGCAATCGTTGTAGGTAGCTCACCATCTTAGGCTACTGATACACTGAGCTCGAGATAGCTGATTGGTTACGAAGAAAACATACCGGAATGTTCGTGGTTCCAATCTAACCCCGATATCTCGATTGCTCCTGTCTAGACTTGGGCACCCTGGTAGAAACTCAGCAGTCGTGATTCCTTCGGGCGGAATGGCAGCCAGACACCGAAATCACTTTGCAGTCACACGGTTTTTTACTAACATACTATTCGATTGCAGAATCATTATCGTCAAAATAAAGCAGCAGGACAAGAACCCAAAACAGAGAAACCAGTAACGCGATTCAGCTTGAATCACTATATAGAGGAATATGTTCACTCGGGATGGACGAACACACCGGGAACAGGTAGGAGGGTGTTAGAAAAATATGTAGAAATTTGGAACATCAAACGGATCAACTAAGAAGGGAAGCTAATGCTTCAAACAACTTGAGCATATCTTCTCTGTGGAGTTCTATACCTGAAATTGCAAAATATGAGTTGGACTCAATGGAATACTCACAGTTGGTATCAAAATAGCAGAATTCTGCTCTAGCCTTTGTTCGTCTCACTGCGGCCTCGAAGGCCTGACCAAATAAGCTTCAAAAATTAATTAATGGTGAAAGTTTAGGCTTACTTTCGGTCGTCATCCCCATGGAGTGGAGGTATACCGATTAGGGTGATATTCTCTTCATCTGCACGACTATCGACACAAAAAATCAGGGGCATTTGTACAACACGACGCTCCCGACCCTGTAGCGATGAGCAACCATTAGTTGTGAAAAGAACCGAACACAGTAGGACATACCAGCTTGGGTCTTAAAGCTGCCTTCGCCATCAAGATGTATTTGGAGAGGATGCTCAAGGAAAGTGTGTTGCGTAGAGCGATAGAGACTAAAGAACTCTGAAAACAAGCAGACACCGTGAACTGTATTGGCATTACCTGTAATGGTTCATTCGCTGTGAAAACAAGTCAGGTTTCATTTTGGTTCATTTTGCGTTTTGTGTTGCTGCGATGGCTTGTTTACATGGAACTACATTATCACATTGGTCAGTGACAAACATAATCACTCCCATCTATCCGACTTACAAATCACGTGGTAGTGTGCGAGAGAAATGTGACCAAAATCGTGTCCGTACATTGGATGTAAAATTGAGGCTGTGTCCAGAAAACCTAATGGGCGAACTTACTTGCTTACTATCGCCCAAGACGGAACCAATTATCTTCAAAGGAATTGCAGTGGTTGTTCAACTGTTTTGTTTCACCTATAAGGAGTGCTTAACACGCTTAAGTCAGCTATTACCAGCTTCTTAGATATACCCTGCCCCTTCTGTAGAAGAACACGCTAGTGAGGAAACTTCTAGTGTCCCGACTGAATCCAAGAGCCTCTCTTCACAAAAACCTAAAGGTAACAGGCTATTCTATCTGATACACCATCTGATCCATCCAGGACTTTTTGTTGTTGTTAATCCCATAAAAATGTTGATGAAGCCCGTTTAGAAGAAATCGGAATGACTGGGTTGCGGTACTTGTGTTTATTTGTGTCCAGCAAGAAACTCACCTTACGTAGATACGCGTAGAGGAATGGTCCGAAGGCAACAACCTCGTCGGTGTCGATGAGATTTCGAACCTGGCTGGCCAAACTCTGCAGATGAGCTTGGGCTCGAGTGATTTCATTGTCGAGGGACGGGAGAGACCAGCTGGGAAATGTAAAGATAAGGGAAGTTTAAAGGAAGGCAATCTTTGGATGGTTTCATTGGGGCATGCCACAGCTTCGAGCAAACACATTATTTCTGGCTGACGTTCGTTCGCTGACAAACTATACCGTTGCAGTAGTCTGGCTGACGGAAAGCCCGTTTTGGTTCAGGGGAATACAGATTTCCGAAACAAACGGCCTTCATGGAGAACGGCTCTAGTAGTGTTAAAAGGGGGTATCGTTGATTCAGAAGAGTCATCTAAGAGACCGGCGACGTGATATTATGATTCTCTTCCTAAGGTCTCCTGGGCAAAACTACCGTTTCTGTCCACAAAAACCAACACAACAATTCTCAACAAACAAAACCTCGAAATGCACAGCAGACTTCCATTTCAGTGCACAGCTACTCGCGATCCATTCAGAGATGTTTGGTGCACGGTCTTTTCTGGAAAGATACGTTGTTGATTAAACATTCACTTTCTGAAACACGAAATTAGCAGTTCAACGCGAGGTTGATGCACCATTGTTATGTCACCCACTGGAGCCAGGCGAACCCGGCGATCAGTACTGTATGTCTAGCCATAAGACCTCTCCGTTTCTACACAGATCTATCACTTTCTTGCAGGTTCGCTGCACCTCGGCATGCGCACCGCACTCACGGACACCCACCCCAGTCCATCTAGTTGCCTATTCTCACCCAAATGGTGTGCAACACAATCGAGATAAAGGCACTGGTTCTAACGAGAACAAACACACGCGCTAGATGTATATCTGCGTGTACCGACCACTAGGAGGTGAACGCTCAGTTACCCATGGGCTTAATTTTAGCCGGCCAGCCAGACACGATTAGTAGAAAGAGCTATTTGGTTGCTATTGGGATGACACTCTTCACCTTAAAACCAGAGATATTTTCTGGCTCCAAAGTTAGCGAAATCAACCACAAAGAGGAAGCACCAGTGGCAGTGCACCTAGCCATTTTATTGGATATATAAGCCGGATACTACAAAAAACATACGATATCAACAGCACGATCTACGTCATTCTTTTATACCAGCGGCTTTCATGATTTAGAGATGCATCCTGAAATTTGAAAAGTCGCAATGTGCGTCCAAGCTAGACAAGGTAGAAAAGTTAAGATAAAGTAATCTATAGATTAAAGTGGTAAAAGATTATATTTACCAACACAATATACAAACAAATGGAAATCTGAGTTCCCTTCGCCCCACCTGAATGATGAATTGGAACATGTACACATGTGATCTTTTCGCGTCTTTTAGTCGGAAATTTCAATAAGTCGTGCTTTTTGCCTGCTATTCTCTCCGTCCGTTTCCATCCTCTGCAAAGAAGAAAACGGGTTCTTATCTAGAAAGCTAGATGACCTTGGTAGCTGAGCGTCATGAGCAGGGTCCGAGTATCTGACTGTTAAAACACCAGCTGAACCCAGGTGAAGACAATTAAGATGGCCACCTTATGTCAGACAGACATGAATGTTTTAAAAGTGGTACACGGCGGAGTGAGGGCAGACACTGGGTAAGGGGAGGATGCATAGCGATTCATTTTACCTCACACAACCTGCCTGTGTATTTCCTCCCCCGTAGTTAAAAGAATGAGTGAGAACAAGACTTTCACACAAATTATGGCGCGACGAAGAAACAAACGACTTACCAGGACAATGTGTCCAAAGCCCGCTGGAAGTTCACACTGGGGTCGCCGTCTCCCTGCAACAAATAGTGAACATACGTATGTAGTTGCTTTGTGATTCAGGTGCACCTTAATATCAGGGAGCGAAAGAGTTTGATTCAGGAATATGAGGAATTATGTGCCCCCGCTGTCTTTTCTGTCAATGTCAATGAAGTACCGACGCTTCGCTGTCAATTCCCAAAGTGGGTACATAAGGACTTTACCCGATCATGTCCCTCAAAACTTCGAGTTACAAACCGGTTGTCATGACACAGGGTGACAATGTTTCGAAGTGAAACTTGGACTTTGGAGAGTATATTCAGCTCATGCTTTCATCCATTCACGTTTGATATTTTTATTTTGATGAGAATGTTGGTGACACGGGATGTCTGGTGAGCTTGTAAATTTGATTGCAAACGTTCCTTTACCAGCCGAGGTGGCTTGTCAGTTTGGGACAAGTAGAAATTTAACAATGCTTGGTTGTGCAGGCCAACGGCTCCATCACTAACGGTTGCCACAGCCCGATTCCAGGTAGCCTGGTTGTAAGTGGGCACGGCTTTACTACCGTCCATGTAGGACCGCCGTCTAACCATCCTTAGAGAATTGAATGCTAAGGATCAAATCACCAAAATTGTATGAGTATTGAAGCCAACAATAAGAAAGTAAGACTCTAACCAGGAACTCAAAGAATCTACCAGATAAGAGTGCACGAAACAACGTAAGATCGCAACTGCAAACCAAGTTATTTGTAACTAGCTCACCAAAGCTTGTGGAGCACAAAGCAAGGAGTCAGAACAATGATCAACACGAGCTTGGGCTTGTTTGCTCTGAATACCACAGAGATCCGGTAGAATTCTTTCAGGACACATTTTTACAGCCTATTTGTTACAAGAAAACGTTAAATTAAAAATGATGTGGTTAATTTTATGTCTTTATAAACCGGCCGAAATAACCCTCGCCCGATGAATGTTACCCTAATAGATGAGCTTTGTGAAAAGAGACGAGTAGACCAGTACCAGGGACCAGGTTTTCCGGGCAATATCCATATGGAATGAGTGCCGCCTAGAAACATAATTGACAGATTCGAAAGATTTCTGACTTTCGGTCTGTGAATGAACTAAACAGAATAGTAAATTCTCCCTATAGAGAATTTTTCACGCCAAATAAAGATTCCTGTAGTCTCAGTTTTTCGTTAGAGACACTTTAGAGGAAACCTATGCTCGGCGAAGAATCAACTTATGCAAATGGTACTCGTTCTGGGCGAGATGGTTCCGTGGTTAAATCGCGAAATTACTGACCGGAAAGTCCGTGGCTTGAACCCGACCTTTACATCTCGACTTCCCCTGTCTAGGCTTGGCCAACCTGACAGTATCTCAGCAATCGTGCTTCCTTCGGGTGGCATGGCAGCCAGGCACCGAAAGGGTGCTACGATTTTTTTCTTACTATGGACATTCAAACTGCTCAAGCATGACCCACAGCGATAACGATCAGCGGTTAAGGTGAGAAGCTAATGGACGGAATATCCATAGTTTGGGCCTACTTCTGGCTTTTGACAGTCCCTGTATATACTTGGGTAGAGTGGAAAAATCTCAGCTCACTTAGTTCCTTCAGGTTGTATGCCAACCATGTGCCGGAAGGGTTTCGCAGCTGAGTGATTTGCTATGAGCAGACCTGACGGATCAGACTGACAGGACAACCTCACAGTCTATGGCAGGTTTCCACTCCGCAATGAATAAATAAGGTGGGAGACCCATACCCGACCTAAGTTAAACGACTCGCCCCAACCCAGTACCAATCAACAATGGGCTTCATTAATTAGTGAGTTGCACTACAGATAACATCTGGTCAGGAGCTAAAAAGTATAGTCAAGAAGCATAGTATTAGGCAGATGTTGTCTCGATTCGTTCCATTTGTTGGGTACTGTTATCCCGGATAAGTCGCGGTAGTTGAAAAATGGACAAAGCGTACAATATAAGATAGCCGCATCCTTTCAGTGCTGCGCGAACGTGGTGAAAACTGAATCACAAAAATCCATAGGGACGTAAGCTTTCGCGGAGTCACAGGTATAGCTCACGACTGACAATTATAAGTTTGGAGAAACCATCAGCAACGAGGCAGACCGATGGATGGCATTCAAAATTAGCCCTCAACAAGTTGACTGACTGCAAGGGCATTATTTTAAATACATCTGGGACACTCTGACTACGCTTTGCACGAATGCGTTTCGTGCTTCCGAATACGACATTCCGGTTGAATACCTCCCGGAAAATCGACTCGGAACACATCACCGCCAAAGGAGAACTACACGAGTTGAAATGTCGGTACAAAGCTTTTTCCACGTAACTTATTTCCACAGTCGAAGACAGAATTTCAGCGAACCGTAGCATTTGTTTACGCAATACCTCACGCTGTTCTGCAGACTAATGCTTCCAGTACATCAATAGATACCTTGCATCCCAATTAATGGTCACAGATGACATTATCAAAACTTCCGTCGGCTCGGTTGCACCTTGTTTGTCTATTCAACAACCGATACTGTTGAAAGGCTCGGATTACCAAAGTAAGCACTGTATTCGAGTTTGGAGCAAACACAGTCTGTGCACGGACATCAAGTTGGCTGTTGTACCGTCTTGTGTAGCACGTGGCAGCGAAAAATGAACGCTCTAACAACCACACATTAAAATGTTCACTTGCAAAAACCCCTCAGTAATTAGCAGTAGGATTTTAAACGTGCCAGGTTTAATGGATTTGACAGCAGCCTGATGCACAACCAACAAAACTGCTCAATTAACCTACTTTCAAAAGGCAATGGGATAAGAAACAAACACCGAAGAATTGCTAAATAACGATCTGCGGTCTGGAAATTCTGGTGAAACCGACTTCTAGCTATTGTGCCAGGGTTGAAGATCTGTATGAACAGAAACAGTTGATTTACTTACGTGACACTCCAAAGCAGACAACGTGAGGAATACAGCATCAATGGCTGAAACTGGTGTCCGATAACCCAACTGGACAGTGAAGGAGGGTAGAAATAGGTCGCGCCTGCTCAACCTGGAAAGTGAATTAAATGAAGTGTTGGTAATATATCGAAATAATAGTAGGTCGGGTGAGTTTATTGGTTGTCCGACTCGATGAACAGATCAAGTCATCCGGTCAGCCACTAACAAATGAGGCGTGAAAATGGCTTATTAGTTACTGCTTAGTGTATAGTTACCCATGTGGTGCAGAAACGAAACACTAAACTCCCTTGTAGCTGAGATGAAATGTTGCTACATTTGATTGAGTGCACTTCGTATGGTTGATGAGAGAAGAGTATAGGATTGATGCCTACAGCATGGCCGGTAATCACAAAAGATTGGTTATTCTCTAAAGAAAGCTTTCGTGAAAAAGTCTATGGTGAACGACTGATGACTCCTTTTTAACGGAAAGTCATGGATTCGGCGCAAAATTCTGAGGCTACACAAGGCCTTTCTACACGGTTTGGAAAGCCAGTCTGAAGACCTGAAAACTTCTCTAATTTCCATCCCAATCGAACCTAGTACAAAAATGATGGAGCAGACGGAAATCAAAACTCACCCAAATTTTTCGCCATATTGTAGAAAGAGGGAATTGAGACTTTCTCTGACTGTGCTGGTCATGGTGGAATACCGTTGCAGACATTCGCGCCGCGGGAGGCTGGTGAAGGAAAGTGAGAGAACCGATAAACCGCAAGGAATCCAGAAATACAAATCATTTAGGACTCGGATCGTCTCAACAACTTATGGGTGGGGGATAAGGCACGCAGAACGCAAGAAGGAAAGTGTCAAGGATCACATGAGTGGAAGGAAATCAAGAAGCCTTTACACCAGCGGTTACCAAAATTGATAGGTCTATTGGTCTATCACATCTCTTTCTTCGTTTTGGTGATTTTTGACTGAATGGCGGCACGAAAGCCACTTTAGGATTCGAGTAGGCTATTATGTACAGACCATACAGACGGCGGCTAATTGCCAAGTTGTATGCGGTCTTTAGATAAAATAATGAATATTGAAATGAGATAATCGTTCATCTGTGACACCCTGTCGTGGCCTAGCTGCCATACCACCCGAAGGAAGCACGAGGGCTGGAATATTGTCAGGTTGCCCAAGCCTAGACAGGAAAAGTCGAGAGGCAGAGGTCGGACTCAAAACACGGAACTTCCGGTTGGTAAATTCGCGTTCTAAAGACTAGGCAATCTCCCCCTCCCTTCAGATAAAATACTGCAATAGGTATGGTGCTTCAAATCACAGCTTCTAAAACACGCCTACATGTTAGTGAGCACTTGCTGACCCTAACAGCATGCAGGTAAGCCACGCAGAGACCACTTATGGTTGATCAGTTCAAGTCGTGTCTACAGAGGTGAGCGACGAGGGTAAGGTTGTATAGATAAAAAGCATGTTTAGAGGTCCTCAGCCACCTCGGGACCAAATGTGGCTGCAAAGCGGTTAGTAAGTGCCCTTAGTTGCTGGCGAAATATATTTGGAGTTTAATTGGGGAACTAATAGTACCACTATCAAAGCAGTGAGATTATGCAGTATAGCAAGATACTTTAATCAAACGGATAACCATCCCAAGACCCTCGTACCACTTGATTTCGGAAAAAACATCAAAGCAGTTAATTTCATCCAACTGCTCACTGTTTCCCCAATTTCTGTGCAGATAGTTTTATCGCCTAATTGTCTGGCTTTGATAAATTTGTATCTCGACGGTGAGCGACAATCAGTCTAGTTAGTAGATCCTTGTTCGGGTATCAGGTGAAACTAAACGCATCATCAAGCAGTGATCATGTTCACTTGTTCAGATGTGGTCATTCAAGCGAGTACAGCATCCGCCGATAGAGCAACACTGAAAAGCTCACCTCGATTGTCAAATGACTTGGGTCGGTATGTCGCTGAGGAGAGCACTGCTGGTGATCTTCAACAAGAACAAAAGGTGAGTTCCCGAATTTGGTGTTGATTCGAACAAATGTGTCACAGCAGAATGACTGTTTAAACCGCAGTGACGTAGTGCAAATCCAACAAATCTTGAAGCTGCTTGCAAGCGGACATAGTTTTTGGGTGTTAAATACACATGTGATATGTCGGTTGCGTGGAGTGGTAAATTTTTCTGATGAGACAAAAATACTCTGAACAGTTGTAACCAACGTGATTACCCTCGGCCATATAGCATTTGTGAGAGCAAAAGAGAGCCGCGGGTGGGCGACCTGATTTTCTGACTAAAAGCTGGGGTAGCGCAGAGAGTAAGTGTGTGTTGGTTCAGTCAACTTGGTCCTGACACAATGTACGGTCCAGGGAGATCGGATGCAAGAACAGCCAGTTAGGTGGCCTGAATGACCACCAAATAGACAATCTTCAACTAAGAATATTTAGAAACCACGAGGATAATGACCGGATTAAGTTCGTGTCAGCGCCTGCTCCACACGGTTGGACTTGAGTGTAACTTATATACTTTTGTGCGGAGATCAAAGGTACCTCTCATGCGACCCACATAGTCTTCGGAACATTCGCAAAAATAAGGATGAATCGCCACGGATAATTTTCAGACGGGTACCTTGTCCGATCGCATTGCCACGATACTCCTGAGATGGCGCGTGACGAATTCACAAGAAGAATCGCCGATGAGCAACAAACGTCTTACGAAGATTGCGGGTCGTGGTTGGAAGTAAGCAGCCCTCTTTCCGTAAGACGTAACCTATTTCAGTAAGTTCATTCTCTAAAAGTTCTGAAGTAACCATCGTCCGTGCTCGATGAACTAGTGTTCGTGGTAGGTTCCTGCCCTGACAGATACAAAACCACAAAAATTCGTAAAATATCCACTTTAAGTAGCCTTTAAATAGATCACCAGCTGCAACATACCGACAATCTGTCCAGTGAGACGCGCCTAGGGGAAGTGGGAAGTTCTCCCCGTTTTCCGTTTTTCAGCTCTACTGTGAAGAACAGGACAGTGTTTTCCGGTACAATTTTTCTTATCTCAAAAGGGTAAGTACTGTGTGTGATGTAAAGTTGACAGGATTAACCGTGTTGCACACCACCTGGCTTACCCGATATGCACAAGAAACTCTTGCATTTTCTTTTGCCCACCTTCAGTAAAAAGTTTGAACTTTGAAGCGGTGACCATGCTGGTTTCTAACGTTTCCTTCAAACTCCAGTGCTTGTATAACCATAGAGCCAATTCGTCTTCCAGCACGATCTCAACTTTAGCCTTCCCCTCTTCTGTTACACTAGAAGCGGTATTGGCACGGTTGCCTGCATGGCCGAGCCGACTGACGTGGCTTTGTAGATAGTCCAGCTGATCCACGTAGTGCTCCCGATTGATCAAATTGGTCAACAATTGTGAAGTCTGACCAACGATGGCATACCTATGGATTGAACAAGATTAGCAACATTGACTGCCAGATGATTGATGTACAGGAGGACCGGCCACTGCTTTGGATAGCGATCGTTAGCATTAATCTTGCCATTTCCTCCAAAAAAGAGCTACAATATTCCTGTTGTTAATCAGTCACTACTAATTAGTAACAGCTGTGCTGCCAACGGGGTCAAACCTACATGCTCGTACATGTTTCATGACGGTACCATCAGGATAAACTAAACTCAAGCAGCTAATCAGCGGAAAACTGTTCAAAAGCATCCACCAAATTTCAGAACATGAGATACTTGCCACAGTAAACAGTTCGTTTCTTGAGAAAGCCTCCAAGTTAAGTCAAACAGTACGACCGCAGACGACACAGTATGGTACGAAAAGCTTTCATAATCCAACAAAATGTCCTGACGCCTCCTAGCCCATTTACGCCGCTCGATCCGCTTTTCTATGGCCTCAGCATCCGTTCGCCGTCGTTCGCCCTCTTCTTCCTCGCTGTCACCAGACGACTCTTCATCTGTCTGAAGCGCAAGTCAATCAGGAAATGCTCGCCTACTGAAAACTGTTGAAAAACATCCTCAAACTTCGGCACATCTGAAGTGTCTTCATTGAGGCAAATTAACTTTATCTGACGTTGATTGTAGAAATTATTAATATGAATCGGTCGATGGCTGAGGGTGTTCAGTGAGAAAATATGGACATACCTATCGCATATATAAAATATTGTAGCGGTATCAGGCTCCAAAACTTCCAGAACATCGAAGTTAGCACCACAGTTGAGTAGGACTATGTCGTGATACTGTAGGGGTGAACATTCAAATGGACGAAATACAACTCACGGCATCCTTGTTCTTTGTGTAGAAATTGCAAAGCTCCCGCTTGTCACTGACAACCAACAAGGTGTACAGTACTTCGCGGCTGACAAACAGCTCCTGATTTGTAAGATTTTACGGCGATAAGTAAACCAGAACACGAATAACATACCTTCAAAATTCGCCAGGCGCATAACCCATCAATGTCTGGCAAAACAAAGACAAGCACACGCTGCGAGTGAATGGTAGATAGTGTTTAATAAACAATATGATATTAACCTTTCCCACGACTTCGTGATAAAATTCTGACCGCGCATCCCTTACAATTACCATTGCGGATGCATGAGGGCGCGAGTGCCGAACGACGAAGCTCTCAGGAAAGGTATAATCTTACCTGAAAAAGGGGAAGGAGAGGGAACAATGAAGACGAATACAAAAATTGCCTATATTTCTATAAATTCATTTGTAAAATATCAGCTCCGGAAAAGTACCTGCTTTTAAAAGAAACGCGGAAAAAAATTCTAGCCGTCCTCGCTTGCGCTCGAATAAAGCACATCAAAACACTAAACAGACAGAGAAGGATCTAGAATGCTCAAAAGGGAAGTGGATCTCACTGGATGTAAGCTGCGGCGACTTCCAGCGCCATAATTACTGAAATCTCAGACCCTTCGGGTAGATGACTGTCAGTAAGGTCAATGAGATTGAGTGGCTAGATCTCATATAAGCAATCAGTTGTGGTACGGTGTAAAGGATAAAATCGTGCTGTCAGCTATGGCAGAAGTGTGAGGAGAGTAAAATTTTCCATTTCGTTCTCTGCATTCACGGACTATGCCAGCCTGTCACAATCAACAAAGTCGAGTCCTTGGGTCGTTCGCTTTTAACAAATCCCATCGAAAAAACCCTACTGTCCGCCGTTTTTTTCAGCCAGAACAAGACGTCGGAGGCTCAAAGCGGATTACTTCGGGGAAAACCAGACTCAGTCGGGATATCCGAAAAAAACCAATCCCCAGAACTGTAATATAATAAGACGCAAGGGAGTATCACTAGACAACTTGGGCCGAGAATCCAGAACAGCAAAATTCTGTCGTATAAAGATAACCTACAAGAAGGCAACGACATTGTAGTGTTCAGCTGAACAAGGCTAGCAGGAGGAGACTCCGAGAAAATGAAGATGCGCTTTCTTTTAGACATGAGTCTCAAAAGGAAGCCGTATTCGTAGTCACAAGCAGCTTGTCTGCATGAGCTGTCCATGAAATAAGCTACACCAAATAATAATAACCATTCAGCTAACATATTTTATGTGTCCTGCTGTGACGCCACCCGGAGTCGCAAGGGCTGAGATACTACCGGGTTGCCCGAGCCCAAACAAAGGCAATCGAGGCCGGGATTGGGTTCGGATTACGGACTTGCTGGTCAGCCTTAGACACTAAGCCACCTCGAGTCCGAAAATTTCACACCAATCCGACAGTGATTGCAATTCGAGCTCAACTCGTCGCAAAGGAGCTCACGACTCTTTCCGAAGGATAGTGACTGATATTTTAGGCTGTCGAATCCAGAATCCCTTGCGCAAGTTGGTCGAGATTAAGAAACTCTGAACACTTCACTTTGATCTGGACCAATAAATTACAATGTTCGACGTCTTCTGTTCACGTGCTCGAGGTAGATCAGTGGTTAAGGATCAAGCTTACTGACCAGAAGGGCCCTGTTTCTACCCCAATCGCGGCATCCCGACTACTCCTGTCTAGGCTTCGGCAACCTGACAGTGTCACAGCCTTGGTACTTATTTTGCCTGGAATAGCAGATATGTGCCGAAGGGGTGTCGCTGCTGAACAGCTCGACTGTGAAGTGAAAGCGATATCCTACATACTATTTGTTTGCCTTGAAAAAACTCGAAATCCGTCTCCCTAGCCAAATGAATCTTGGTACTAGATACAACATGAACCCTTTGGTATGTGTAAAAATGTGTTTCCGCAATAAAGCAGGTCACCATGGAACAAATGGAATATCGGAAGATTGGGCAAGGATGAGATTTTCGGGTGCTGTGGATGGGACATTCGGGAACAACTAGAGGTCAGAAGACGAACAAATGCGCGTAATAAAACACATGCATAAAGCTGTACAATAGATGAATAGTTTCGTGAAGCTGGTACAACGATTTCATTGATTAATCTGAATATGACTTTTGTCCAAGCACAGAAACACCCAGCTAAGTCACTGATCTTTAGAATTCGAAAAACACTTTAACATACACAATGAATTCTACGGACCATGTCTTGGTAAGGCACCATCAACAGGATCAACCACGCGCGATTCGCGCGCGACATAAGCCCAGCGAACGAAAGGTGAACCTTCGCTAGTCAGTCCGGAGAATAAAGGTATGCGCGCCCCTAGAACCGGGTGTGCGTAAAGCGAGGTTTCTGACCACATACAAGTAGAATCAAGTGAGTTCGCCAGCAGGACGGTAAAAAACCCACAGCACTAAGGCGGACTGTAGTCGCTTTCATTTGACTGTGGACTTTCCATCAACAATGGTTTGCAAAAGAAAACAACGTTTCCTGATTTCGCATGCGTTATTATGTCACTATATATATATATATATATATATAGCATTATGTCATTAACCTGATAAGTGATTTGCTGCCCTAGGTAAAAAAACAAAGAGCTTCATCGCAGTAGGTCATACTTGAGCAGTCTGAATAGCCATAGTAAAAAATCGTCCAGACGTAACACCCTTTCGGCGACTAGCTGTTTGGCCCGTGCTATTCAGAGTTCTACTGTTACACGAATGCTACGTGAAAGCATGTGCTGTTTTATTGGAAGATTCCGAAGAAGAGTTAAAGCATCTAACGACAACACGCGAGTCTACACCATCTTATTTTGACTGAAGTATACACATTACTAAAACGTTCATTGAATTTTGTTGTGAAGCTGTTGGTAAGTTGAAGCTTAAGCTGGGCAATTTACGCAGGGTGTTCTTCGAAATGCTCGGTCCAATAAATGAAACATCGAGAAATGGAATAGACTTTCAAACCGTGTTGTACTTTAATGACTTCATTGGCCAGCGGGTTTCTTGGCCTAGTGTTGCGGATAATTTGGAAGAGTTCGTCTCTTTCCAACCACCACCGCCACGACCTAAAGCTACCACCGTGACAGGGTGGTCGAGCTCCTGTGCTACAATGATTCCACGAGGCGCACTAGATGAAACTACATTCCACAATGTGCAACCTTATCAGGAATGCCAGAGCGGAGTAGTCTGACCAAAAGCAGCGAGATCCCACACCACGAGTAAGTGTATTTTGGGGTTCTCTTGGTAAACAGTCGTACTTTTCTCTGCGAGATGGCTATGAAGGCAGTGATCAGCACGCCCATACTCATGAAAGCAGAGATGATGCCTTCCCCAGAGGAACGATGGGTTCGAAAAGGTCAGTCCTAAAAGCCGCACAATTAAAATGCCCATAGTTCGGCTGTGATCGTTACCGAAATAGTCGAAAAACAACTTAACCTTACCTTGGGGCGAGATGGCCCAAGTGGTTAGAGCGCGAATTTACTGACCGGAAGGTCCGTGGTTCGAACCCGACCTCTGCCACTCGACTTCCCCTGTCTAGGCTCGGGCGACCTGACAGTATCCCAGCCCTCGTGCCTCCTTCGTCTGGCATGGCAGCTAGGCACCGAAAGGGTGCTACAGCTGAACGACTTAGACTTAGTGAGCTCAATGCGACTCCAAACGCACTTGCTGCAAGCGGAAGCATCATAATTGAGACATCCAACCCTTATTTCCAGCACTCTCGGATGACGCTAGCTGGGGGCACAGTCCCCTAGGAGAACCCTATTGTCTTTTGGAGTCAGAGGTTGCGGGAAGGGTGACCAGTGTCAGTGTGGACACTGGTGTTTCACTGCTGTACAACACAAATTTCATTTAATTACACCTAAAGCCTCAAAGTAATAGGAAGAGAAGATAACGGTTGAGAATAAGACCGGCGGCTTGACTACCGCAAGCGTCCTGAAACGCCTATATCCCCAGGCGATCAGTCAAACGGTCTAGAAAGAAACGGACAGCGCGGACGCCACCAGCATTGACTGACTGCCATTACAGCAGGGACATTAATGCTAAACGCCGATGTTATGCTATCGACTTAAAAGACGGTATTCCAGCAGGCGTAGCACATGACCGCCACCATAGTGGGTGTTGATGGATGTTCCCCGCAACCGAAATACCTTCTGCACAAACAAGCACCCGTTTTCTAATTACCTCGTTGCCAATTCGTTGACTCGATTCGATACCAGCAACACTTCTGAGATATTGGCGGAAGAGGAGGGCCAGTGGACTTGAACTGTGCGGTCCCCACAGTCAAATCTACGTATGATTTTAGATGATCACTATCTTCGGTACATGTTTTTCACCCTCCAAGTGCAAAGTATTGCTTCAGGGTTTAACTCCTCTGTATCCCTCTGAAGCTCCGTGAACAGTGAAAAAAATCTCTCAGCTGTGGTGCCTAGCTGCCATGTTACCCGAAGGAAGCACGAGGGCTAGAATACTGTCGGGCTGCCCAAGCCTAGACGGAAGAAGTATAAGGGCAGACGTCTGGTTCGAACCACGGACTTTCCGGTCAGTAAATCCGCGCTCTAACCACTTGAGCCATCTCGCCCCTGAAGAGTAAGTTAGATCTGTTGACCAGTCTACCAATGCACGTATTACCAAGCCATGTGAAACGCTGTTGAACTTGCGTCACTTGTGGTATCATAAACAAATTTCGCTAAATCCATGATCTCTGGAGAGAAATCTCTCTCTGAGAGAAATCATATTCCATGGTTGTGAAACGGCCCCTATGATCCAAGGGCAGTGGGCAGATCTGAAAACTTTATCTACGGTACCTTTGCAGTGCAGCAGACGTTAGCTGTACCAGGTTGGCAACGCAGTGCTGCATAAGCGAGTATTTAGTGACTAATCGGAATTATTAGAGAACGGGATAGAATTCATCCGATTAAGGTGGCTGGGATGTGTACCTAGCAAGCCCAACTACTGTCTGAATAATGCAATCTTCCCAATTCTGAAAGATGAATGGTTCACAAAGGACATGCCACGATACAGTAAGTGCTGCGGGATCCTCGTCCCGTGGTGGTTAGGTCTCGCATGCTTCTCCCAGCACAGAGTTGGGAACCCTACAGGAGACAGTACGTAACCTGACCCAGTAGCGAGCTATGGGTCAACCCCATGCTCAGCATGTGCGATAACCAAACGCGTTAGGCTCGGTCAGGCGGTATTTCACGCCGAAAACCGCCTAGCGCTCCAATTAGGCACTGCGACAGCCATTAAGCTAAACTCGCAATTGATT